GGGCGGGGCGGGGCGGGGCGCGAGACCCCCCGGGGCTGCCGGGGGCACCTGCCGGGCCGGGAAGGCTCCGTCACGCTCCCGGAGGAGCGGGGCAGGATGGCTCGTTTGTATGTTCACTGTTTTTGTGGTTTGTGTTTTTTAAATAAAAGTTTGCTTTTACTGTTACATTTTCCTTCTGCTCTCTTTGACAGGTGTGCAAGAAGAGTAACAGCTGTTAAAAGGATGAATGAAATGTATGGAACATACAGCCTGTAAGGAAAAAACATTCTTGCCCTCTCATTTTAATCCTTTTACAGGATTCGTTACAAATTTATATTAAACAATGTATAGAATTTTAAGTTGTCTCTGCTGCCTATTTAAATGCACGTTACATTTTAGTGGCTGCAACATTCTGCCTCGTCTTGCAAACTTGCAAAAGAATCAAGACTGTTTAAAAAAAGTAAAAAATTCGAATTTAATCTTGTTTCACCTAAACAGTAAGAGAATGTTCATCAGATGTGAACACCAAACTCACTTGGACTCAGGATGCTCCATAAATAGAACACGTTGATGTTGTATTTCAGCAGATGCAAATCATCTCCCTTTTTCATTTTGCTACGTCCAAGTGTCATCCCAGGATTTTTCACGGGGCTTTTTTGTAGGCTGTTCCTGCTTTCTCTTTTGGAGGAGAAATGAAGAACCAATGCTTGTGCTATCATTAGTTATGACCTCTGTTTAATCTAAAAATTAAATAAAAGGAGTTAATTTTAGGTAGGTAGAAAAGTTGAGGGTTTTCTAGCCAGGTTGTTAAAAATCTTTCCAATATTTTATTGAGAGCTTCACCTTCTAAAGGAAGGTGATCTGGAAAGATTCAAGTACTCCACCCTCTTCAGTTAGCATCTTGCTCATAAGAAAATGCCTTCTGAACTTCCCAGTATATTATCTTCCCTGCTTTTGTTGAAGGAATGACATTTCTGAAGAAAAAACTGTCAGACTTGAGGAAAAAGTAACAATCATGAGGAGAGAAACACCCACTTGGAATATTAAAAGAATGTTTGCAGACCATACTTAGAGCAGGTGAATCTTCATGCTACCCAAAATGATAGCACACTTTTGCATACTGCTGTGTACTTAAACGTTTGCAACTATTTAATTAGGTAGATGCTGAGCAGCATTTCCCCACCAGTATAAACATACTGCTTCCTTCTTTGAAAGCGGCAATGGCAGAAGATGATCCAGTGAAATGCAGCGGCCTAGGTCTCACTTTTAAACTGCTGGCATGTCTGTGTTGCTGTAAGACCCAGTAACTGCTTTATTCCAGTTTGCTGAGATGCTGATAGCAGTATAACCAACCTAACACAGCTCAACATCTGTCCATTTACCTGCTTCTCCTCAGCTGCAGCAGAAGTAACTCCAGGGCAGACGTGGCCCCTCTGACTATTTTAATCAGTTTTGCTGAGACCATCTCTTCATTCTGACAAATGTGTTAAATATCTTTTTCACATGCAAGCTCAGACTCATTTGAATGGGAAGGCCCGAGTACTTGTTAAAGCCTTTGAAATACTTTTCTTCTATTAAGAAGACACAGGAGTACCAGTAAGTACTTTGATAGTTTGTTTTCATTATTATAATTACAATACATTCTGAACAGTTACAAAATATGGGGGAATCACGTTTTCTCCATAAATTTCTATTGCAAACTTAAGACACTGGGGTGCCTTTGTATTACTTCTGCACATTTTCCCTATAATTTTAGTGAAGACATTCAGTACAGCAACCCTTTTGTTGTTGTTTCAGCAGCTTTTAGTTCTGCCTGGTGTCTCAGGCTTTGATGTCCATCTTGAATGCTGATTTGGCTGCTTAGTTAAAAGCCTGGAGCGAGTTTCTCTCATGTTACACCAATTCAATAGAGGACATTTCCAGTGGGACAGTTCAGAAAAGGTATATATGCAAAATAATTTCTGGGTGACTTAGAGCAATAGCATGTAGTGTATTTCTAAAGTCAAATCTTGCTCTAGATCAGAAGGAATTCCAATTAAGTCATTCAAGTATTTAAACTTCCGATTTCAGAGGAGAATTTGGCTCCACATAAACCGAAAGCATTGGTCAAACAGCATCTTTCTCAAACAAAAAAATACTGCCCATAGTACGAGCCAACTGGCATTCTCAAATACAAGAAACATTCTCCTGCACAGCACTGTTAAAATGTAAAAACACCAGCTATGGAACCTAAAAACATTTCCAACCCACTTCTGGTAAAGTTTAAGTACATTGTACTTAGCTGCTTCAAGACACCTATTTGCATCAGCAGGTGTGGCTACATAGAGTTTCCACGTACAGGCCATGGAGTTACAAGACATGGTATGTAGGACCCCAACAGTATGTTTGCTCATTTCTACAAAGTCATCACTGCTGGACAGCAACATTGCAGTCCAGAGCAAGGTGTGCCCCTACCTCTTCTGCCCTGGGACAAAGGATATGGCTCTGACCATAGGAGCGTACTGCAAGCTAGCAAAGCATCTGAAGAGTTGGCAAAAGAGTTGAAAGGCACATAGCTTGTCCTTAGCAATATTTCCCTGTTCCACTTGTGGTGCCCATTGAGGAATAAATGTTGGGACCTAAGCTTGAAATAAAAAGTAGTAAGAAAATAGAAGCCTCCCAGCAAAAAAAAAAAAAAAAAAATAAGTACATTTTACTTAGCGGCTTCAAGACACCGATTTGCATCAGCAGGTGTGGCTACATAGAGTTTCCACGTACAGGCCATGGAGTTACAAGACATGGTATGTAGGACCCCAACAGTATGTTTGCTCATTTCTACAAAGTCATCACTGCTGGACAGCAACATTGCAGTCCAGAGCAAGGTGTGCCCCTACCTCTTCTGCCCTGGGACAAAGGATATGGCTCTGACCATAGGAGCGTACTGCAAGCTAGCAAAGCATCTGAAGAGTTGGCAAAAGAGTTGAAAGGCACATAGCTTGTCCTTAGCAATATTTCCCTGTTCCACTTGTGGTGCCCATTGAGGAATAAATGTTGGGACCTAAGCTTGAAATAAAAAGTAGTAAGAAAATAGAAGCCTCCCAGCAAAAAAAAAAAAAAAAAAAAAAAAAAAAAAAAAAAAAAAAAAAAAAAAGTTTGCCTTTTTTTTTTTCTCTTTTTTTTTTAGCTTTACAGTTTCACTATTGCATGTTTTCCTCTACCTTCCCAGTGAAAATTAAGGAAGTGATGAATGCATGTTAACCATATGTATGGACTTACTACTACTGGAATACCAAATGGCAGAGCTGCTGTAAGCTGTTGCAAGTACTAAAAGCAATGCTTATAGTGGTCTGTACAGCATTTGCAAATATTTACTTCAAAAAGAGATTAATGTAGTTCTTAGTTTTCTCAGCATTGCTTAGAAACACTAAAAAACTACCAACAGCTAACTGCTACTCTATACCAGATCAATATACCCCAACCAATATTTAGGAATATATGCCATATTTAAAAATACCAAGCTCCTCTAAGCTGGTAAACCTAGAAGATTTTACATAGAGTTAGAGATAAAATATTAAAAATTCTTGTTTCAACTCCACACACTTGACATCTGAATAGGAGTGATGTAGTCATACTATTTATTCCATCAGTGAGACAAAATGTTGTATGGAACTAAATTTCTGAGATTTTTAAATAGAAAGTCATTTAACTCGTATATACACAAAGTGTTCTTTCCACAGATATTTACATGGCAAATATGTTAGAGGAGAACCACTATGACTAAGTCTCTACAAGTATAGCATCCTTTCTGAGCTATTCTCTCTGCTGAAAGAATTCACAGAAGCTTTGAAGTAAAATCTAGACAATTAAAGTTACCATATTTCACAGGAGGTAAAGAAGCCATTAAATGATATTTCAGCATAAGGTTTCTGGAAACAGCTACACAGTAGAGTTTTACATCCAACCCTTCTTTTCCAGCATTCATGGTGAAACTAAATCTCTTCTCAATTTACAGGAGAGATAACAGCATAAGTAAAGATGCATGTGTGTAGCTGTAGTTCAGCCTTCTCGGTAGAGGCTGGTCAGCCGCTCCAGTTCTTTGCAGTTGTCCATGGACATGGACTCTGCTTTCTTTCGGAGACGGTCATCTCGATATACCTTCGCTGCATAAAGTAAATCTGTTTCTAGAAGGGAAAAAGAGAAGAGGTTTTCCAGGTTAAAAACTGAATATTTTGCACACGATACATGCCTGCTCAGAGCCATCCAAAACAGCTCAGGTTTAATTCTCACCCTTTTCTCCCTCTGCCTATTCTAACTACCCACAGACACCACCTCAACAGCACTGCTACAGATTCCCTTTGCTGGATATTCACAAGCATTTCATCTTTTTGAGCAGCAACAGTGCTAACAGCCTTCCAGCACCCTCATACTTCATAGAGCAGTACCTGATGTAAGAAAAACCCAACAAAACACACCACAAAAAAACCTCAGCTAAACCAAGAAACCCACCACTACTTCTGTCACACCTCATTAAACAATACAAACATAGGCCACACTGTGTGACCTTGCATATTATTGACAGCTCAAGCATCTTGTCTCTGTCCAAAAATCCATTCGAATGTCAAGCCCATTACTTCAACTGATGCTGCTTCAGACTGGCAGTGTTTAGAGGTATTAATAAAAGAGCTCTCTGTATTATACTAGTATTCAATAGCTTAACATTATATACATCTTTTTCAGCTCATCAACTCAAAATGCATTAGCAAGGCATTCTGAAATATCAATCAACACTGAAAAGATTTTAACCGTCAAGGAGATCTAATACACAACAGGTATTTGAATCCTTAAAACCACAGAATGATCTATTTCTATAGAGAAAATCTACAAGGAGCTGCTTTCTCAGAATAATTTTGGGTAAGTTTTCACAACCTGATAAATTGCACATAGCAAACAACACGACAGTCACATTCAAGTTATTTTTCTTCATTATACTAGCATCAGGTATTTTTCTAGTAATCACATTTTTCCCAGTAAATACAGAATCATGGGCCTCTGCATTGTCCAGGACTCTGTTTATGCTTAAAAAAGTAAACGTGTCAAGAAAAAACGCTGAAAAATGGGAAAGGTACTCTTTCTTCTTTCCCTCCCCTGGTGAAAAGTGTCTATCAACTCAGCCTTTTCAAAGCTATTTAGACAGTAAGTATATTACAAGAGACACAAATATAACAAGCCAGTAAATCTGAATAATTACTAGGTCAATAAAAGCAAACTATCCTTCCAGATCTACACTCCACTGAAAAAAATGTATAAATAATATGTCCTCTGTTTATTGTGCTCGATTATAGCTTCTTTTCAATTTTTGTTAATAACCATGATGATTTTTGTAAACTACTTTATTATACGATTACCAATTGTTCTTCTAGCAATTACCTGTAGATGAAAAATTTAGATACTCATTCGATTAAGACTGAACATAGTCAAAGATTTCAAGATGACCAAAGGACAACCTAGCTGGAAAAATACAAGGGTTTTTATATTTGCTTATGAATTAAATTCAGAAGTTCTCTAAGGCTTTCCTCTATTTAAAAAATTTGGGAAAAAAAATAATTATAAAAACCTGGTACTCTGGGCAGTAATCTGAAAGCTTTTCCCCAAAGTACTGGTGTTTCTCTTGCATACATGTGACTTATCAACACAGTTTTCTGCTGAGTTCTTTTCTGTGGGCAATTTGTAAAACTGTAAAGATGTACTTGTGCACAAGCAATGTGTACTCACAAGGAAGGAGGCTCATGCCTCAGGAAGCATCAGGCCAGGGATGCACAGGCAGTGCAGTTTGTAGCTGTACATGTACAGGCCAAGTGTGAGGAAAGCGCGCAGTCCTGTTTGGGTGTCTGACAAGCCATGATGCTGGGCTGTCTTGTACAACTGGGAGAAGCTAAGGGGCCATTTCAGCTCAAAGACCTGGCATCACTCAAGTGCAAAGTTATGCAGAAACACACAGCTTAACAGTAAACTTTTACTGAAGTTTGCCATCTGAAAAGTTGAAACCACCTGTTTCCAACACTGATGTCATGGTAGCAGCCTTGCTCTCACAGCATGAAAGGCTCACACAATTGTCACAGATAATAGAATAACAGGTTAAAATTGAAGATGATTAGAGATGGCCAATGCTATTCAGTATTGTTATGCTTTAACACTTAGTTTAACACTTAGTTTTAGGCTCCTGAAAGAAAATAGCTCCTTGTACAATATTAGATTGGAAAAACAGACTGTGAACTAAAAAAACCCACATTTTTAAGGTCTGATATGGCCAAGGTACCAAGTCAGGAAGAAAAATTATTCAGCATTGGCAAAAGATTAAGCACTGATTTACAGCTTCTGATGTTCTACAGGACATGCTGCGTGTCCTTGGTTGCCTGGAAAAAGCAAGTTCTATATGTACTGTTCTCCAAGGCAGATTATTTTTTTCATTCTCTGGAAACACCTACATAAGCTTCAGTTACATTTATTTATTCATTTATGTATTTATACAAAAGGACCTAGGGAAATGAGATATTGCCATGATAAAATAATGTGGAAGAAATGAAAATTCTTAGCTTTAATCCTTAAATGAGAGTAATTTCTTTCTCATTATCAATGCATTGTCATCTTTAATTTTTTGAGAAATGGTCACAGATAGTAGAGCAGCAGGGTTAAAATTGCTGATGCTTTGCAGATGGTGGTTAGGTCACTGAGTAGAACACAGAAATTAAGTGACACTGGGGACAATTTTAGAAGTGAGAAACAGCAGGGAACTTTAACACTCATTTTCTCATTCAGACACGTTAATAATACAAGCACTTCATTCTTGCCTGAGGCAATCTTTTTTTTTTATAGTAATGCATGCTTTCATGAAATTACACATATTACCAAACTTACTTTGTTGCCTCTCCTTCCAACAGTTATTACGAATGTTGGATACATAATCCTCTTCCACACTCTTTTCCACTTTCTGTAATGACACTCCTTTGTACTCATTTTTAAAGTCCTTGTTGACATAATAAATAACACCCAAATTTTCTGTCTGCATTTTTATGGTCTGCCCTGTACTTCTGCAAAAAAGACAAAAAAAGAAAAAAAAAGGAGATAGAGATTAGATATTTATTTGATTTTGTTTGACACCACAAATACACTTTTAAAAATACTGCTATTGCAGAAGAACAGTGCATCACTGAATCTGCGTTCTCAAGACAAGTAGTGAAGTGAATGGTTGCATAATTTGCCAGATAATAAAATTACTATATTCACCTGAATATTAAAATTCAGCTGCTTAAACCCTTGATCTTGGAAAAAACTCCCACTTTAGCAAGCCACTTGTTTCATACTTTGTTAACAAATACAAGCTTTCTAATTGAAAATTACATTCAAACTCAACAGAAGGAAAACCAGCTCACTACCATGTAGCAACCCAGTACAGGCATCTTCAGTGTTCTCTGCCAGCTCTGACAAATCCATTTTCTGCTGGCATTCTGTGGATTAAAAATCAAAGACTGCACAAAATTTTGGCAGAGAAGTATTTATAAGCATCATAACAGCTTTGCTGCAGAAGGGAAAAACATCATGCTCTGGAAATAAAGAACTCTGAAAAATACGAGAGGAGAAAATGAAACTTTCTGTTGTGGGGCAGAGAGCTCTGCAAGGAATGAAGAACCTTTAAAACAGTTGTGGCAAGTGGGCTAAGTCTACTAGCTGCATCCTTGATTACTTATTTCTCTCAAGGATAAAAGATGTATTTATCTTACTGTACAAAACAGGCACGTTTCACTTTGCAAGAAAACAAAGACAAATGATTTTACCATCACCTAGAATGAAGCAAAGAACAGACAATTTTCTACAGCCTTCATCTAGTTCAAAATTTAAGTAAGGATGAGAAAGTTGCTTCAATGTACTTCACTTGCTACAAGCACAGATGACCCCTACAAGAATAATGAGCCTTAGTAGGTTTCAGGATTCAATTAAATACTTTGGAGATGCAAACACGTTTGCAACATGCTATGTTGCATGGACCCACTGCCTTGCAACAGACCTTCTAAACTCCAGGTATTGTGGACTGTCCTGGTTTAACCCCAGCTGGCAACTAAGCACCACCCAGCAGCTCGCTCATTCCCTTCCCCGTAGGATGGGAGAGAATCAGAAGGGTAAAAGTGAGAAAACTCATGGATTGAGATAAAGACAGTTCAATAGGTAAAGCAAAAGCTGTGTGCACAAGTCAAGGAAACAAGGAATTTATTCACTGCTTCCCATGGGCAGGCAGGCATCTCCAGGAAAGTAGGGCTCCATCACACATAACAGATACTTGGGAAGACAGATAGCATCACTCTAAATTTCTCCCCCCCAAGCCCCCTTTCATCCTTCTCCCAGGTTTACATGCTGAGCATGACATCATATGGTATAGAATATCCCTTTGGTCAGCTGGCTCAGCTGTGTCTCCACCCAACTTCTTGTGTAACCTTAGCTGATGCCCTGGTAGGGTGGGGTGAGAAGCAGAAAAGGCCTTGACTCTGTGTAAGCAAAAACATCTCTGCATTATCAACACTCTTCTCAGCACAAAACCAAAACATAGCCCCAGACTAGCTACTATGAAGAAAATTAACTATCCCAGCCCAAACTTACACACTGACCTCTTTTCTTCATTACATTCTCACAGCATGTTCTTAGTACCTAACCTTCAAGTTTTGCTCTGCTTTGTCTATGCCCTCCCTTCCTCACTGTGGAAAAATCAAGGACAAACTAGCAGAAGGCTCTCTAAAATGATTCTACATGGAATTGGTGATTACAATACCATCCTCTCTGCTTAAAGCTAATGTAATTCAGCATTACTTACGTTCTTGGGTATAAGGCGTAAGGAGGGTTAGATACCATCAGCTGGCTCAACAAGGAGACAAGGATCAACACAATAATAGGCATCAGCTGAATGAACATAGAGAAACCTCCCTAAGGAACAAAACAGATTCAGGTATTTCATAAAACAGCATCAATTGTAAATTTGACAAGATTAATGCTAAGCATGCTTCAAGCATCAAAAGCTGCTAGGAGAACTCTAACTCCAAATCTGCAAACACTGTGGCCTCACCATAACTTCCCAGTGCATACACAGTATTCATAGAGTGCTCAAGCCACAAGAGTTCATGGGTTAGTGTGTAGCCACAATCGACCAAATCGAGCCACAATTACCAAACGAATAGCTTGGTTCTGTTACACTGTACACCATGATCTGGCCTCTTCCATACAGCAATTATACAGGACTACATATAATTCATATAAATTAATACAGAACCTCAAGTACAATTCTCAGCTCAGCCCAAATAAATTTTTAAAAGTAGAAAAGGATTAGTGACCAGAATTAGTCACGTATTTAGGCTAATACTACCAGTCACTAGTAAGATAGTGACATACAACAACAGATTTACAAAACCAGGCTATTACCTTTTCAAATTTGCATATCTATTTACCAGTTTGAATGACTACCACCTGCCAAAATTTTAAAATATATAACTGACAAGTACAAATGCTCCTCTACAGTACACAGCTCCTGTATAGTCACACCACTGAAAGTGACTTTCAACATATTTCACAATCCACAATTCAAAGTTAATGGGAGTTTAAACATACATCACCCCTCTCTTCCTCTCTTTCATGTCCACTCTGACGGTGCTGATTAGGATGACTGTAGCCAGCACGACCATTAGAGAATGAATGGACACTACCTAAGGAAAGAAATATCCACTTCTAAATAATGTAAAAACCCAACTACTTAGAGGTCAATACAGAAGCAACAACATAAAGCATTTTAATGTTACCCCACAATGACATAAAATAACTCAACTTTTAAATATTTTACAATTTCAAAGTTGTTTCCAAGAAATACTTTGAGATTTAAGTGATCTGTAATTTCATGTCCTACAGAATCACCACATAAATCATCATAAAGAACTGACCTCACGTTTTTGGGATTTAGCTACTCTAAGGGAAAAATAAGCTGTGATGCAGATCAAAGAGTTGGAGGCTGAGGCAGGCTGAAACAACTGTACTGCTTTACAATGTCACAAACCCTCATGCCATTCTGGGCAGTAGCACCATCCTGATGAATATACTGATATATACAAATACCTGTTGGAAAGGCCCCTCCGAAAAACATGTTGAATAGATCCTCTGGAGTAATATCTGCCTCACAGCCTCTGTGGAAGTTGAATCTACCGTTGCTAGGGTGATTGCATGTTTGCTCTTCACTGCCTGTAAGGTCATACTGCTTTCGTTTCTCCGGGTTACTCAGCACAGCATATGCATTTCCGATTTCTGAAGCAAGGAATAAAAGACAACTCTCATAAACAAAAGAGCCATTCCAGCAAGAAAATTTCAATTCCAAAGTCAGGAACAAGCAGCGAATTACGTCCTCTACTGTATGTAACAAATCAACTATAGCACAACAAGGTCCAGAAATATCTCTACTTTAGCATAGTTTCCACAAAGTTTCCCACTAAAGCTACTGAAAGGCCTTTTCTCTTGTTGGCAGAAGGCAGCAGAGCTTTGATCCTTTTTCTAAGGAAACACCTACATCTGTGGAAATGTTCTTTCTCACTGCAATTACAAAAAAGCATCAAGCATGACAATGAAAGCTTTGAAGTGGAGTAATTGCAAAGTTCAGTTTGCAGCCGAGCTTAAAAACATCATAAACTCAGTAGGTTTTCTTTGGTTTCATTTAATAAGTGGTCACTTATTTGAATCTAACAACTTCATTGTCTGCAACAGCTGGAATGTATTTTTTTATATACTTAAGATATTTTATGGATTCCATTAATAACACAAAGTCTTGCATGGTGTAACATGAGGAGTACAACATGTATGCATGACAAGAAAATGTGTGTTCCCAAAGTTGTCAATATGACCTCAATGTTTCGAGTGTGTAGCCTGGATGCTTGTCCCTGCTCACACTCCATTATCACAAATGAACAACTTCACTTTTGGCAATAGAAAGGAAAAATACTGAATTAGGTAGCATGGAAAGAATCACTGTGAAAAGACCACCAGCTCTGCTGACTTTACAAATTTTGACCCTGGTTGCTCTGCACAGACATACAGGTCTTGCAGACTGAAGGAAGATTTCTGTTGGCACTTGATAAACAATCTTCACTTTGTCATGTCTTCATTAAACCCTTTCTGCTTTCCATTCTTTTCTCTGCTTCAGGCCTTTCCAACAAAAGACTTCTTTTACAGCTGACCAACACAAGGCACAGGGATTATGTTTTTGTGTTGAAAAGCCATCAGTCATCAAAAGTTTGTGAAAGGTGCACCACTATAACCTTAACACAGGCAAATAAGATTGTGGCTTTGTGTAATTAATGTTTTCAACATTATCCAATCTAAAAAAAAGAGGTAAGGCGTCTTAGCTATATGCATTTAAAGATGCCCTTAGAACTAATCATTAGCCATTCCTTCAAGTGGAGAAGAAAACCCAAAGAAATGGAGCCTGGTAACTTGCATTGAGCATGTGATATATGCTACTAACACCAAATAGTGTGACAAGATTCCTCTGTTACACAGACAAGGATAAATTTGCTAGTAAATATTTAGATTTCCCCAACAACTAAGAATCTGGGGAGATAAAAGTCTGGTGATTGCAGACCAAGTGAAGATACCATACTGTCTTAGTATGGTCAGCAATCTTTTTTGACTATTTGTTATTTGGTCTTGATTATTTGATGCTAATTCACAATGTTTGATTAAAATACAATTTTCTTTCAATAAGCACATAAAAAACCTGCTCTAAAGTTCCAAAGGAAAGATTTTTTTATGCAGTTGGTAAAAAATATTTCAAGAGATTAAAAGTCAGCACAAATTTATCAATCTAAAACAATCTCAGGAAGCCTGCTTAATACAACAGAAGTGTAGCACTAGGCAGCTTAACATCTATGTATGTAGCCTAACACCAAACTAAAATCTGTTTTCTAATTGACCTTTCCTTAGAATAAAGCATGATTATGAAATAACAACCATTATGAAACTCCTCAGCTGGATGTTAGAAATTCATCAGACACTTTTAAAGGCAAACTACATCATAAATTTCCTCAGCCATACAAAAATATTACAATAATTTCAACGCAAGCAAAATGCCAGATTTAATGAAATAATTTTTAGTCAGTAAGACTCCCCTACAAAATTTTCTGTTCATGTACTCATCTCATTAAGAACCAGAAAGTGAAATTAAGTTTGTAAGTGAAATCAAACTTGAACAAAGTGCTAGTATTAAATATAAGACTAAAATGTTTACTTACATTTTAAAATATTATTTTAAAATGCTGTTAAGAAGGAAAATATTTTATTTACAGGCCTAAGACAATTTTATAACAACATCTTTTTTAGAGAAAGCCATCTCACAGTTGAATTAAAATAATCATTAGGAAACAATTTTCCTGCTATGTTCTATCTAACTTTTCATTTGAAATTGTTAAATTATTATTATAATTTTCCCTTAAAGTCTGTATCAGAAGTCTTCCTCAGGACTTTCCCCAGTTTTTTTATCAGTTTTATCCAACTAATTTTTTCAAATGTCTGCATGTAAACCTGACACAGGACAAATAAATAAGATGTACCACAATCAGATTTATTTATGCTTGATCATTTCTTACCGATTCACATTTTTCTTAATCTGTGTCTAAGATGAAGGTACAGGTTTTCTTTAAAAAGCATTTCCAAAACAATTTTCCCTTTGCAGGGCTAAGCTTGGCAGTCTTAAATCAGGTCAAGTCAGATTGTAAATTTTAACTAAGAAATGGTCAAAGGCAACTATTAATAAGACCATGTTTGATCACAAGTGTTTTTCTAAGGAAAAAGTAGTAAAACTACAAACATATGAGGAATTCTAAGGAAAAGGTAACTTAGCATGGGGCACATGATTTGGTAAAAATTTCATTTTGCTATCAAGTATTACTTGTTTTTTTAAGCTCAAGTACAGTGAAGAATCAAGATAGATTCACTTGACTACGTTAAGCCAACAACAGCAAAAAGGTGCACTTGAGTTTCACAGACCAAGTATTTGTTCCCTGTACCTGAAAATTCCAGTCAATCCTCTGAAACTGAACCCTACTGCAACAGTTCACATTCTTTATCTATACTTCTAGGTATAAATAAAGGTCAAATATTTTCTTGGATAAAAATGTCAGTTTAATATTAGGTAGAAGACACCACATCGAAAATTCTGTAAAAAGACAAGTGATCAATGTAGATTAATTTATTGTAATCTGCTAGATTTTACTCATAAAATAAATGTTAAGTAAATATGGTATTTTACTTTTAAAAGCCTCTGTTGCTCCGGGTGCATGGTTTTTGTCTGGGTGGAATTTCAAAGCAAGTTTTCTATAAGCCTTCTTCAGGTCTTCTTCTCCTGCATCCTTTGACACCCCAAGGACTTCATAATAATTTTTACATTTCTTTATACTGCAAAAGAAAATAAAGTAAAATGTTGTAAAAAAGACCAAAACCACTTCAACATAAAAGTAGTATATCAGTACACAGCTGCAAAGGAGGCAATACATTGCACTGATGCAATAAATTACATATCTTGCTTTTAATATAAAATATTAGAAAAAATCCACTCTAGAAAAAAGAAACATTTTTTTCATAATAAACTCACTATTGAGCACAATAAGCTATTGTACGCAAAATTGCTTACTACATTTATTTATTTTACTTCTGGTACATAGAGCTACTACAGTTGTAAGAAAAGGTTTCAGCTTGCAATTACATTTCCTCATCCCCACTATGTGAATACTGCTGTTAATATGCATTAAATGAAGATTCCATATTTAGTTTGCAGAGCTAGCAAAGGCCTATTTTGACTCTCAAGAGCAAGTGCACTTTGGTATGCATGATAAAAATCAAAACAAACAATTCCTCCCTTTCTCCAAACAACAGTCAAGTCATAACACCATTCAAGCATTCACTTTTCAGGGAAATTAGTCACATGAGAATACCTCTGATGCTGAGCACCTGGATCTCAACAAACTTTCTGCATTTATATAAATTCTAAGAAACAGTAACAGCTCCAGCAGTTACAGATTCAGTTAATCTCACATGTTCAATGTAGCATTTTTTAAAACTGTGAAAACTTGGAAATAGTCTTCTGGTAGGCAGTCTCACCCAGACTGGAAAAGCAAATCTGGAAATGATGTAACGATTTGGTATGCTTTGCAACACTCAGAAGGAAGAGCAGCTACAGGGGACAAGCAGGAAATTAACTTTATGTGGGCAGGAAGAATTGACCAAACCAATGAATTCCTCTTAAAATCAAACCAAGTTACTTGGGTAAGAATTTAGAAACTTAAGAGAAATAAGGCTGAATCACAAACTTGCATTGCAGAAATGAGGCATGCTGATATTTGGTGCATACCAAAAGAAAAGAGCTGACCTGAGCAAGAAACAGAAATTACATCCATAAACATTTTAAAAGCTTCATTTTATTCTCTTCACGTGGCTGCAACTGTGTCCACATTCTCTTAAACGCACAGATTTCTAGGTAAATATGGTTTTAGTTTTACAAAGTCTATACCTAGGGCAGCCAAGTGAAAAACCTGGGAGTAAGCAAGTCTTTGGCATTTTCATGAAGGAGGAGTGGGTACCCTGTATTAAGGGAAGGCTGGCATCAGAAGTACAACCACGCTGTCATGGGTGGTCCTTCACAGTTCACACAGTGATCAAATCAAATTTCATTTGAGGGATCCCTTTTCCTGTGTTCAAAGAACACGGGCTGTTATGGAAGTCTCAGTGTAATGCTCTCAAGAGCACTGAATTGCATGTATGCAGGCAGCTGCCAACACAAACATCCTGTGAAATAAATATAGCTCATTATATTTAAGTAATATTTAATCAGCTCAAATTAGGAAGCTGATAGACATTAACTAAAAAGAACACAGTGAATCCATCATCAAGAAAGTACAGAAAGAAAATACATTAAATTACACTCTGAATCTTGGAAACTTTTGTTTGTGAATTTGTACAATAAGAAAAAATTCTGGTAGTGTTCAGATCCCTTCATCCTTAGCCTGAAGACCTGGATTATTTATGAACTGTATCAAAACCAGACAGCTTTATTTAAAGGTGTAACAGTATCAAATTTAGCTTTTATTTCAATAAATTGCTATCTCAGCATCCAATGCAAGTTCTTCAGTATTTCAGTATCTGAATTATCTCTTTGTGGACCAGACTCCTCAAAACTTTGGTTGATATAAAATTAGGTAGACAGCCATCAACTCTTAGCAAAGTTATTGTTTTATTAGCCTTAAAACAGTAGTGCTGAGCATTTGTTCAAGCATTCTTAAGTGCTGAGCATCCTCAACAACTTCTTCCCCAACAGTTCAGTTCTTTGCAGATGTAATATGCTTTTAATTCACAACTCTAGGATGCAGGAAGGAGAAAAATGAAATAAAAACCACAACCCAAGAAGTGCCAACCTGTTATTCTAATCCTCAAGAACTCACTCCATAGTTTTTTTGCAATTCACAACAGTGAAAGTGCCCCAGCAGGAAACCCTCATGGGAAAAGCAGGAAT